CAGAATGGGGCCCATTTCCGGCATAGCCCATTAGCCCTCCCTCCTGCACCCCTCCATGGCTGTGCAGATCTAGGACTCTGGTCACGACCCAGAGCCCCCCACACCAGGCCCCTCAGAGCCAGGGTCCCTTTGTGGATTTCGAAAGTTTTTGCATGTGCTGTCTCCCGTGATCCCCACCCTACGTGAGGTGGAAGAGGCAGGCTGTGTTACCCAACTTGGCAGATGAACAGACTGCGGCTCAGCGAAGCCAGGTGGCTGGCATAAAATGGCAGAGCCTCTAAACTCACCTGCATCCACCCTCCATACAGCAAGCCTCACCGGCTTCACTTTCCACTCAAAGGTCTGGCTGTCACTCTTAGAGGAAGACAGGGAACACCTGAGCTCTGGAATTCTTACAGCACAATACACAACTGAGTAACTCAACAGAATTTTAATTAGTCACATAATATGTGTAGTATGCACCAGGTATAGATAAAGAACTTTACAAATATTAACTCATTTCTCCCTATAACTACCCTAATGAAGCGGGAACAATGATCATCTCCATTTTATAGATGAGGAAACGAGTCACAGAGAGAGTAAACAACTGGCCTAGGGCCACGTAGCTAGGAGGCCAGAGAGCCAGAAGGTGACCCATATCGCTAGCCACCGCATTCTGCTGCCCATGGATTTTTCTGTTTGCTTGTTTCATTTTCCAGCCATTAATTTTAACAGTTAAATTGAGGTATAATTCAATGGTATGATTTAATTTAAAAATGTACTTATTTTAAGTGTACAATTAAATGGCTTCAGCAAATTTACAGAACTAGGCAACCACTACAACAAACCAGTTTTAGACATTTCCATCATCCCTCAAAACATCCTTTCTGTTCATTTGCAATCACTGTTTGTTTCGACCTCTAGCCCAGGGCAACCACTAATCTACTTTCTATCTCTGTCAATTTGCCTCTTCTGAAAAGTTCGTATAAATTGAATTACACAATATGCAGTCTTCGAGTCAGGCTTCTTTCGCTTCGGCCAGTGCTTTTAAGGTTGATCCATGTTGCAGTGTGCGTCAGCACTTCATTCCTTTTGATTGCTGACTAATATTCCGTCGTGTGGCCATCTCACATTTTGTCTTTCCATTCACCAGCTGATGGTGGTTTTGAGGGTTTCCACTTTTTTGGCTATGATAAATAAAGCTGCTGTGAGCATTTGTGTACCAGTCTTGTGTGGACTTACGCTTTACTTTCTCTTTGGGTGTATTTCTAGGAGTGCAATTGCTGGGTCATCTAGCAAATTTATGTTCAATTTTTTAAGAAAAATGCCAAATTTTTTTTTCCTCAAGATGCTGAGAATTTTCCATTCCTATGTCCATGGATTTTATAGTCTGTGAGGCCAGGGCTTCAATCCTAGGGCTGCCCACATGACCAGACAGAGCCTACTCGGAGTCCTAGACCATCTGCGCGGTGAAATGTGGCCCTCGGGGGGCACTGGGTGGAGAACAGCCTCTCGGCTTCTCTTGATGGTCTTAAGAAATCTGTAGACAAGACGTCAGCTGTTTACTTTCTAATCTAAAAAAATCACCCCTTGGGACTGAGGGCACTTCTTAGGGGAAAATCAGCAAAGTGGCTATTAAATCAAAAGGAAAAACAGACACACGTGCGCATGCACGCATGCGCAAACACATGCACACGCAGAAGTCAGGGGAGATCTCCCCAAAGACAGCAAACCGACTTGAGGAAGCAAGTCACATACTCCAAATGTCTGGCTCTCACCATCAGTCGCGAGCAATATACAAAGGCTGATACTGTTGTCAGTGCCAGGGTGATTCCAGCATCTCCCAAATCTTGTAAGATAACAAGGCCACAAGACCACCTGGTACCAGATGACACACAACCGGCCATGATGCAGACACAGGTGTGCAAGTCACTGCTTCTGCTCTCAAGTAGTTCAGCCTCCTGGAAGGTACAGACCCTCAGTGACTGAACTGGGCTGAATGGTGTCCTCCAAAATTCATGTCCACCTGGGACCTGTGAATGGGACCTAGAAATAGGATCTTTGTAGGTGTAATTAAGGCAAAATGAGATTATACAATGAATTAAGTTGGGCCCTAATCCGATGACTGTCATCCTTACAAGAAGAGGGAAATTTGGACAGAGACACAGAGAAGACACACAGGGAGGTGACCATGTGAAGACAGAAGCCTATTGGAATGAAGCGGCCACAAGCCCTGGAACTCGGAGGATTGCCAGCAACCACTAGAAGCTGGAAGAAGCAAAGGACTCTGAGAGAACAGGTGGCTCTGCCTACACCTTGATTTCAGACTTCTGGCCTCCAGAACTGGGAGGAAATACATTTCTGTGGTTTAAAGCTCTCTAGTTTGTAGCACTTTGTTACAGCTGTCCTAGGAAATTAGTAGTGACTAAGAGCTGGGCTCGGATTGCATGGAACGCATTGTATATGCTGGTGGGTGTCAGAGGGGGAAGCAGAAAGGGCTGCATGGAGGAGGAGGCACTGCTTTTAGTCGTGTCTGATGTTTGAGCAGGAGGCCCAAAAAAACAGAGCTGAAACTAAGGGCTCAGCCTGGCTTCTGGGTGATTTGGCTTTAATGGTTCGTGCTTTTTCATCTTTTGTGTCCTCTATCATCCCTGGAACAGATACTATAATCAGTGGGTGCTCAGGAAATGCTCACTGGCTATGTTGGCCCGATTCTCTCCCTGATTCTGTCCCCTGAGCCCCAGAGTGGTGCCTGCAACATAGACCTCAATCCCCCTGCTGTGCACTGTTGTTCATGAACTTGTCTTTCTCCGAACAGCTTGTATTTACTTACTCACCAAACTGATTGATGCCCAGTGCGAAGGGCCAGTCTGCATTTTTCTTGCTCTCCTACGCCTCACCCCACCTGATTCCCCATGCTCAGTATGTTGTGCCTGCACACAATAGGCACCACTGAATGCTTCGTGTTTTGGGATAAGCTCTGCTTGTAAGGAGACATATGCCATGATTGGCCAGCTGGGTGGGAGGGAGCTAACTCAGCTTTACTGAAAAAGTGATTTAGAGGCTGCTATTTGCTGAGTTGGCAGAGAAGCATCAGCACCTCTGAAAGTTATCAATAGGGATTCCTGCTTACTGAGGCCACGGGCTGAGCCCATAATCCCTGCTCCAGCAGCTGCAGCTTTATCCTGAGAGGGACATGAGCAGTGAGATGCCTCAGCTCTTGCCAGTGGCCAGAGACATGAAAAATGAGAGCCAGAGGCCAGCCCTGAGGAGAGGGACCAGCGTCTGCACTCCTGACCATGTTCATCTGGGTCCCTTTACCGTGTTGTACATAGCATGGCAATGGTCACTGCCTGGGGCTGGAGGCGAGGCTGAGCTGAAGGTGGCCACCCATCCAACAGCCTGCCACTCCCCATTAGCACCCAGCTGGTCCTGGGCAGGGGCACCTCTGTGATGAACTGGAGTGATCAGCCTGTGGAAACTCCTTTGGGCACAAAAAAGGTCTTAGTCTCTACCTGGCCCCTTCCCAGGGGCCCAGGGAAGTCCTCTCACTCATCACTGAGGAGTGAGGGGACATCGCATAGCCAAGCTGGACTGGAATCTAGATCCTTCCACGTCCACAGAGCCTGACGGCTGATTCCTCCACCACCCCAACCACGAGGTCTCAGGGAGCTGAGCGGGGAGTGGTTTGCCCTGGATGGCACCATCCAAAACTTGACACTGAAAGGTCAGCCGCTCAGAGGGGCCCAGCGTATTGACCACACCTGCTCTGGGCAGCCATCAACCCACACAAAGACCCAGCAGCAATGGGAGATGCCTGCTATCCAGCCAGGGCCACCATCCAGGGGACAGGAGCTCTGTTGTCCTCTCTACCCAGGATATGCTCAGCTGGACAGTTGGTGAGCTAGAGAACCAAGCATGACTTCCCACATCAAGTTTCCCTGGAGGCTGCAGGTGTGGAGACACACTGCGTGTGAACTCACTGCACGGAGCACTTTAGACACATCATCTCGTTTGGGGGAGTACGGCCAAATCTCCCATCTGCAGGGGGGGGATGTTCAAGGCGGCAGCTTGGCATAAAGGCCACAAGCTCCCGAGAGTAGCTGAACTTTTGGTGTCTTGTGTCTGGTATGAGGGCTCGAGCTGCAGGGAGCCCCCAGCTCGTGTGGAGCTGACCTGGGTTCCAGATGCCTTGCCCTGATATGGTCACGTGACATCAGAGCTTGGAAAGGTGGGTGCTCTCCAGCGAGCCCCCCTGATCGGCCTGGCTGGAACCTGCACTAGGATCAGGACTTTCCAGAACCGGCCAGAGTTCCTGGCGTCCTGAGAGGAACCCTGCTGGGAGGGAGCGGGACCCGCACAGACAGCACGTCCTGTTCACGGGGCGCCCGCCAGCTTCAGAGCAAACTCGCGCTGCTGCCTCTGATTAAACCTTTGTTTTCCCTCCATGGTGAACTCTCAGCTCCAGGCTTGAGCACTGAGTGTTCCTTCTCAGAGCCACCCGGCTGCTCGTCCTCGGCAGCCAAGACCCTAATGCGAGCTTCATCACGAGAACCAGAGTGGTGGGGGAGGCCGGAGCCGGCCCCGACTGCTCCCGCACGGCCCCGCTGGCTCCCGGGGGTGTCAGCGTGCAGAGCTGTCTGCTCAGAATCTGGGGGCCCGAGCACAAGGCAGCATCTCAGGATCTGAGCTGAGGCAGGAGGGTGGAGACCAGGACAGGACTGGGCACAGATGGACAGTGCTGTCTGGTGTCAGAGCTCTTCCCGGACAGGTCCCAGCTGAGCCATCACGGACCCCACGACTCCCGCCGGGCCTGGACCCCTGCCCCTCTGCCTCGGTTTACACAGTGGAACCCTCCCTTTGTCCTCACCCCACCCCACGGAGCAGCAGCCTGGGAGCCTCCGAAGACCCCGGGTTCCTTCGAGGGCAGCTCTCCTCATCGAGGCCACTGTTATGAAGACAATCCCTCCCCGCCACGCCATCCTTGGCAAAGGAAAGAATGCCACTGGCAAATGCGGGACTGACTCGCTGACACAGACTTTATTGAATGACTCGGTGTCATCGATTCGGCAGGAGGTCACAGACCTGCGGTGAGGAACAGCTGCAGTGTGAACATTGGTATCTGGGAAGCGCACATCCTCGCTGAGGGGAGCACCAGGCCACCGAGGAGGCCGGGCCGCAGCGAATGAACCAACACCAGACTGGCAGGTCCCTGCTGGAGGGCCAGACTCCCGTGGGCACTGTGCCCTCCGCTCCCACATCGCACGTTGGTGGGAGGTGGGAGGGGAAGACAGAATGGGGTGCAGAGAGCAGGGTGGGAAAGAGCCCGGGCAGAGCTGGCCCGTCACCACCACCTGCTGTGTCCTGCAGTCAGCACGGGTGTGGGAGGGCTGGGTGGGGCTGCGTGGGGCGTGAAGGCCTGGCAGTAAACCGGAAGTGACATGGGCTGAGAGGCCACACCATGGCCAGCTCAGGGCGCCCTCGGAGCCTGAATGAGGCAAAGAAGAAGAGGACTTCAGCTCTCGGACCCCAGAACTGCCTGTCTCCTCTCTGGCACAGGTGGAGGGACAGGGCAGCCTTTTCAGGACTGGGCAGCTGACAGGGGTGAGACACAGGACAGATCAGACAGGGTGTTCCCCTCCACCCTGCGCGCCCTGGCACAGGGCAAGGACAGAGTACGAGAGCCTCTGATGGCAGAAAGGACCCGGCCTGGGCCAGGGTGCCACCCCTAGGGTTGGCTGTTGGTCCCAATCAGGAAAGGGTCTGGGTTGTCATCCCAGACCCCCTTCCAATGCCTCTGTCAGGCAGGACGAGCCAAGGGACAACAGTGGTTTGGTTTCATTAAAAAATTGTGTTACATTAAAAACTTGGTCTGAACATGAAGAATACATTTAAAAAAGACATTCTTTACTCCATTAAAATCATTCAATCACTGAGACTTCCCTGAGCACGGCACCAGGTCCTGACCCGTGTGCCGGGTGGGGAGGGGTCCGGGAGGAGGCTAAGGCACTGCCCTGCCCTGGCACAGGGCTCCCTCCTCCTCACTGGGAAGGCGGCTCTCACTGTGAAAGGCCGGTGAGCAGGCCCGGACCCAGGGGATGGGGACAGCCCGACAGCGTCCGTCACTGGACAGACGAGGCCTCTGAAGCAGCAGGCGGACAGCATCCCACCTAGGCCCACTCTGGACAGAAGGCACATGCCAGGCCGCAGGTCCAGGCAGAGTCTGCAGGATGTAATGACCGCTCTGCTCGGAGCCGCAAAGGTGGACACTGGCCCTATGGCCAGAGGCCCAAGGAGGCCATGGTCTGGCTGGCCAGGCTCTCCCTGGGAAAGAAAGAGAGGAAGGAAGACCTGGGGTGTCAGGCCATCCACACCCCAGAGGTGCAGGGCTGGGCCTGTCATCTCTAAGTTGGACTCAAGGGAAAGCACCCTGTTTAGTACCTGGTAACCAGAAGCAGCTCGGGGACACCCCATCCAGCCAGGCCCTCCCAGCACCCACTCTGTACCCCTCTCCTGGTGGACGTGCCCAGAGCTGACGGGACCCAGGAGCCACGCTGCCCAGAGACTCTGCCCCTGCCCCCACCTGGGCTGGCAGAGCCTCCTGTGCTAGGGCTGGCAGAGCCAGTGGGGAGTTTCCCTGCCCGAGTGAAGGCGCCCTGGGCACCCCAGTCTCTCTCTATCCTGGGGGCTGGGCTACTGGTCAGCAAGGTGTCCCTGCATGCTCTCCCCATCACATAGGTGTGGCCGAGACCCCTGGGCTCCAATTCCTACGGTGACCTTCTCCCTGCACCCTGCAGGCTTCCATGACCCCACAGGAGAAAAAGGAACAGGGTAGTCAGAGTGTCCACCCTCCCTCCCTTGGGACTAGGGGTCCTGGCCTGAAGGGCACAGTGCCCACCTCACTACACGCCCCTCCACAGGAGAGGGACGGCTGGGCCAGGGCCTGCACAGGGCGGGAGGGTCAGAAGAGGCTGGGAGCAGCCTGGCCAGGTGTGTCGTGGTCCTGGATGTACCGCAAGATGTCCATCTCGTCCATGGCTTGGATCTGCTGCTGCTGCTTCTGCTGCTCAGCCACGGCCTTGGACGGGCCCACTCTGGGGGGAACGGCTGGCTTTCTGGGGAGCGCTGGCTTAGCTGCCACTGGCGGCTTGGGCTTAGGCTGGGGCTGGGGTTTGGTTTCAGCCCCCAGGTTCAGAATCTGGTCCAAGTCTTCTTCAACTCTAGGGAACCACAGGGAGATGCCCTGAGCATAACCTCCTGCAGAAGGAGAAGCCCCAACCTGCCCCTAAGTCACCCTGCCCCCAGGGAGGAACTGGAGGGCAGGCTTCCCTTCTCTGCAATCCCATAGGGCAGCAGGAGCAGAGCCTGCCCCTCAGCACCCTCCACGGAGCTGCTTTTCAGGTGGCCTCACTCTAGACACACTGGCTTCTTTGAGTTTTCCTTCAACTTCTCAAGAAATAACAACAGCTGCCAGATATGGAGCCCCTGCACTCTGCCAAGCACTTTAGACACATCATCCTGTGTGGGGGAGTGTGGCCAAATCTCCGATCTGCAGGTGGGGCTGTTCGAGTCACAGCAGGCTGAGGGACCTGCCTGAGATGAGAGTTAGCATGTGGCAGTGCCTGAGTCGAAACCATATTTGACTTAAGAAGCTGAGCGCTCATCTAGACCAGATGCAGCCAGGAGAATAATAAATGAGGGGCTCGGACTGCTTTGGGGTCGTGGCGTCTGCCTACTCACAAGGCCGCTCTGTGGGCCACACAGACACTAGACAGAACCCAGTGAGGGCCTCAGCCAGGACTCACCAAGACTCCTCTATGGCCCATCAGTGGGTGGGCCTAACAGCCACAGCGATGTGTGATGGTCACACAGGACCAGCCCCAGGTACCGAATGGCAGTTAAGAAAGGCAGGCCGCAGCCCAACTCTGCCCTCTTTGCCTGGTGAAAAAACTCAGTTCCTGGAGACCAGACACAAGGGAAGGCCTAGTCAACCCATCCCACCACCCGCCCTCTCACGGACAGCTGTCTTGGGTTCAAGGTGATCCCAGGAGGTACTACCCAAGGACAGGAAGCTCTTGGTAACCTCGGCTTAGAGGTGCCCGGCTCCCTCCACCCGCAGCCCTTCCCTGAGCAACCCTGGGGCAGGCGCTGGCTCCTGCATCTTCCATTGGAGGCTGAAAAAGCTCAGAAGGACTGAATTATCCTCAGAGCTGGGAGCTTGGGGAAAAAAGAGCAGCGGCTAGAAGCTTGTGTCAAGTTCAGGATTTACACTGCTTAGCACAGCACTGATTCTGTAACCTAGTCAGAGGCTGGATTTGCTCCGAGGTAGGGGTGGGGCAGTCTCACTTGGGATACCCCACATGGGCACCCTTTCTAAGCGCTCTCTCTCCATCTGGGCTCCTGAGCCATGGCTAGAATAGGTCCCATGAACGCAGTGAAATGCTGTGTGGCATTTCCCTCCCCAGCCACTCATGTGCAGGGTCCTGGCGTAACACTGGTATTGTCCCAGACGTCTGGCCAGGTGGCCCCTTTGAAGGTCACGCCTTGGAACAACCCCCGAAATGAGGGTCTGCAGGACACGGGTCTGAGCGCGCCGGTGTCATGAACTTAGAATCAAGGAGGCCAGGAAGGTCCCCCTGGAACTGCCCATCTGGGACAAGCTGAGTCCTGGAGACGGCCGAGGCTCCTTGGATGGGACATGCTCTGCCGGGCCCTGCCACTCTCCGGGGTGTAGTCCACTTCCTTGAGCCTCAGTTTCTCCCTTAACCACATGGCAACAATCCCAGCTTCTCCCAGCCTGTCCTCCCAGTCAGGGGCGAGGACGGCAGAGGAGAACGAACAGGCGCCAGGGGCCGTGGGGATGTAAAGACAAGAAGCCGGTCTGTGATGGGCACTTAGAGGGCCATGTGATAGCCCGAGGCTGCTAATGAGGGTGCAGGTGACAGCCTCCAGGGACCACGCACCTCAGGGCCACGTAACTGTTCTGGAGAGAGACAGCGTGGCTTCCTGTAAATCGCCAAGCACAGTCTGCATTCTGGAGGGCATGGAAGATGCAATGGGGAGACGCACAGTGCCAAACACACTCAGGGTGCCGCGGCCCTCGCAGAAGCCCCAGGAAAGCTGCTGCCCCGGTGGGGGGAGGTGGCCCTCCCAGCCTCTCCTCTTCCTCTAAATGCTTAGAGGGTCCTGGGCGGAGTGGGGAGGACAGGCAGGCTGGCCTGGGTTCCAATCGTGCTCTGCCACTTGGGAGCTGTGGCCTTGGGCCAGTTACCTCTCCCGCACTCCGTTTTCTAAAAAACAGAGGTAACAGCACCAAACCCAGGGGTTGTGAGGATTAACTGGGATCACGTGTTAAGAGACCAGCGCGCTGTGGGACGCACAGCAAGCAACCCGTGAGTAATGGCCATCAGATTTGCACACACTCTGCCAATCATCCTCCACGTAACAGATTAAGCCTTATTTTCCTCTCTGTAAAGCCTGCTAATGGGACCCTGCTGGGGACCACTGTCCAGCACGTCTGCACGTTGATCCCTCCAGGTGAGCTGCATGCTGCCAAGAGTTGGTTTTATTTGTTCCCAAGACTGTTTATGCCAGTTATACTCGCTTATGCAAGTAGATAATTTAGTTAATCTTTATATAAACTATTAAAATATAAGTATGAAAGGAAAGAAAAAGATATGTATGCACAAAGTTCTCGCTTTCTGGAAGCTGCTGAGCTGCTGGACCCCACCCCCACTCACCGAATCCCCATCACTGCCTCCTGGCCAGTTCCCACCCACAGGCTCCCACCTCCCCGGCCCAGGATTCCCTCCCTCAGAAGCCAAGACTAGTGAAAAGCTCCCACGTAGGGACAGGTCCCTGCTGCTGTCCGGGTCACTCTCAGAGCTGGCGAAGCACCGCTGGGGACAGGTGGTACCTGAACAGCTCCTCGGAGGCCATCCTGCGGCCCAGGCGGGACAGGGGCCCTTCACTCTCACAAGCAGCCGGCAGCAATAAGGGGTCACCCAGGGGCACGGCTCCGCCAAGGTCGGGATCGTCAAACAACTTCAGGGCTGTGGAGAAGGTAGCAGCAGAGGGATCAGAGGACGTTCTGGCCCATCCTCAGTGGCCCGGGGTGCAGGGTGGAGACAGCCCGGCCCAGCCTCCTGGCCCAGCTGGGAGAGGCTAAGCAAGGAACAGGGCAGAGCGCAGGGGAACCAAGGGATGGGGCCAGGCGGGGCGAGGGACAGGTGTGCATCGGGGCCGGCACACCTGTCTGCCCAGCCCCATCCCCCTCTGTACTGGGCCGGTCAGCTGATGGCACCACTTGGTTCAAGTCCTCGTGGTCTTCCGACTGCTTTTAGAAGGAAAAGGCCTCTTCAGCTCACTGCACTGGGCTCCCCATAACCTGGCCCGGCTGGACCTCGTAGCTCAGCCCCCATGGCTGCACCCCAGTCTTCTAACAAGCGCTGACTGAGCGCCAAGCACCGGCCAGGGGTTGCTGCCTTTGGGGATGCAGTGGTGAGGGGATCAGGAAAGGGGATCAGGGCCCTTTCACCAGGAAGAGACTCCAGCAGGCCGAGCAAACCGCGCTGACCTTCAGGATCCACCTGACACCCACCCTAGGAAGTCTTCCCGGATCTCCCCACAGGCACTGACATACTGCTTGGACCTGATGCAGATGCAGGCTGCCCTGTAATTGTCAGGAGATGTCATGCCTCCCATGAGAGATCCTGAGGCCAGATTGTGTCTCACTCGTCAATATGTTCTCAGGCCCAGCACCACGTGGGTAGTCACCAAGTGCTGGCTGAATGAATGGGTGACATTGATTCCTGGCCCTGGATGATGGCCTGGCAGGGTGAAGAAAGGTCAGACCCAGGGATGAGTGTAGAAGTCCTAGGGCCACTCAGCTTTCCCTTTTCCAGCTCTGCACAGAACCCTCCCGTGGGATCTATGTGGGTGACACTAACTCTCTTGTCACAATCCAAACCCTACAGAATGGCAGCAATTCCGGGACCTATGTCCGGCCACGCTGATCCCAATCCACATTTCTCGAAGCAACAGACAAAACTACCCTTCACTTTCAAGAGATGATCAGAATAAACATAAGGTCTCAGAATGTTCCACGCTGTGGGCAATGAGGTGCCAGACTAGATTTCTCCAGCAGAAAATTGGAGATTGGATTAAACATAGCAGAGTGTGAGACATTCCCAGATCTCTCCCCTTGAAACAACAATAAGCTGAATATCTAAAACTCAACAAAAAACACCCAAACTGCACACAAGCACATAAGAGCTACCACAGGTCAGAACCCTGGGTGTCGGGCGGTGGACTGGGAGAAACAGAGAAGCTGCCTCTCGCAGCCAGAGCTCCTTGTAGGAGGAGGGGGAGGGAAGAAGGAACGGTGAGTTTCCTGAACAGCCCTGCCTGGGACTGCTGTGAGCTCCACGTGGCTGGTGGCAGGGCCCAGCATCAGGGCAAAAGGCCGAGAAACGGGGATGGCAGAAAAGCTGGGATGGCAGAGAAACAACAGTTGATTTTTACCAGCCGTGGCTGCAAAACTGAGGCTGAGCAGCAGCCTGCAATTCCCAGCCCAGAAGGCTCCTCCCACATACCCTCCGAGAGAGAACACTGCAGAACCCCAGGGGAATCGGATCTAACACTACCAAAACTGTTGCTAACACTAACAGGAACTGAGACTGAGGGTGGCGAGCATGATTAAACATCTATAAGGGAAAAAAAAGACATTATTAAGACTTTATATAAAGCAGAGATCCAAGAGGCTTAGACGCCACCCACTGGAAACCAAAAGAAAAACACCTTCTTTGCAACAGGCTAGGGACCATTATATAACAAATCTTCTTTCTGGAAAAAAAAAAAAAAATAGCAGAACAAACTTCTATTAATGGCCAGGCGGAAAAAAAGTTCATTAAACACCA